TAAGTAAAATATGAAGACTGAACGAGTTTTTATTACGTTTTTCTTGGTCAGCACTCAAGACAGGATGAAGACAATGAAGCGCGTTCGGTCATCTTGCATTTTTACTATTTTTGAAAACTGTTAAAAAATCAAACATAATTCAAAATTCCTGTAAGAACTCGTAAGGTCTAAAATTCATTGTTGAAGATTCTAAATCTTTAATTTTAGAAATTGTTCTTTTTCCAGCCACCTGCCTGAAAATTGGCAACCAAAACAGATTTTCTTAGTGGAAACCTGAATCTGTCAAAAATAAAACCCTTGAATACTGTTTGGTGACTTTTCAAAGTTGGAATGGTCATTTTTTCATGCTGATGAGAGGCCTCTAGAGCTAATTAGCCTTAAGTAAGGGTTTTAGCAAATTTATTCTTGAAACTGATTTAAAGATTGTTATGACTTTAATCGATAAAAGTAATTGTGATTATTACTCATTGTGTACACTTATTGCTGATCTAGGATGTTGTTAGACCGTTGGGAATTTATTTCCCAGAACTGCTGTTTGTATTTAAGTTTATGTAATACTCTTATTTTACCAAAAAAAAAAGAGGTAAATTGTTTCCTCTCCCGTACTCTGCACGCCTTTTGCAAATGACGAATGAAATTTTAATCCATGACTTTTTCCACCGTGGGCCAACCTAATCTCAGATCTCCATTGTGGGGTTCTCATACCTACTCTTCCATGGAAATGTAGACATAAATCAAACACAGGAGATGAAATTGGCGGGGACAGAACCTTCCTTATCATTTGAATCATAACAATCTGATCCCTCAGGAATATACATAGCACACAGTTTCATCTGTGACAGACTTTGGCCACCAAAAAATCTAACCAATCATCAATTTTTGAAATGTTCTTATCCAAACTCCTACATCATGCTCACCAATTAGATTGGTGCATGTGAAAGAAAATGACATGTTGTTTGTTAATTAGCATGACAACAAGAAGATGAATGTTAAATTAATCCCTGACTACAATTCCAATCATCCTAGTTATCATCACTAAAGTATCTCAAACTTCTTGTTCTGGTAATAGCTGTCTATGCAACTTTAAAAAATAAATAGAAAGACAAATAGATAACACTCCAGGGATAACGTTGGCGTTCACAGAGTTCTATATTGTTATCAGGTTCTTCTAAAACACGATTCTAAGATTCAAACATCAAACTGGATATTCAAGGACTTGAGCTGCATAAATTCTTCATTTTATTCACTTTTGAAGGAAAAGCAATAAACCTTCTTCACTAGGAAATTGCTAGTGAAGAAAGGCAAAAATAGTACATCTATTGAAGTAAATGAATGGTGATGTATGAAACCTTGGGGTCCTGTATGTTTTACAGGATTGTATACAGGTTTTCTCTACGGGAAAGAATGCATTGGCCCCAACTTAGTTACAAATTAATAACAATGTTAGTAAACTAAGACCTAGTCTGAAAAATGGGAAGGGCCTAATACTTCCGTCAGTTGTATATTTGATGGAGCTGCTCGAGCTAAGTCCTGGCTCGAACAAGAGGCGAGTGAGGAATAGGAGTGCGCGGGGACATATTATTTTGTGACATGAAATCTTCCACCTTTCCTCGAGATAAGCTAAGTTTAAGGCTGCTTTGTCGGCACAGTTTCCTTGCAGGCATCTTGACCTCCGTATTCTGATCCTTGTTCTGATGCATAAAGTCTCTAATTCTTGATAAGGCAACTTCCATGGTGCTGTCATCCATGTTGGCAATGCAAACCCTGAACCAACCTGGCTCAGAGCAATGAAAAGAAGAACCAGGAGAAACATTGAGCTTGATTTTATTGATTATCACTTTCCATAGCTCCATTTCAGCCTCAAAGGACTGATCTTTGAGAAGCTTATGCAAATCCATCCATACAAAGAGGCCAGCATTGCCATTCAAACAATCAATCTCCACCTGCTTAAGTCCCTCAGTGAAGTCCTTATGCCTTTTGTCTAGCCGCTCTTTGCTCTTTGCAATGAACCTATCAACAAACTCATCATCAGATAGCATTGCTGCAATTAAATGCTGAGTCTGTGAGGATACTAGTCCAAAGCTGGACATCTTTCGAGCACAATTCACCACGGCATCATTGTAGGAGTAGATAATTCCCACCCTGAAGCCAGGTAACCCCATGTCCTTTGAAAGACTATAAACAATATGGACGAGGTTGCGATTGCATTCAGTATCTTCCTCTATAACCTCCGAAACACTGACAAAATTATGCTGATTTGTGAAGACAGTTGCAGCATAAATCTCATCACAAACAAGGTGTATGTTCTTTTCATTTATGAAGCTTACTATCCCTTTCAGTGTCTGTCTGTCCAAGATGGTACCTAATGGATTTGATGGATTGGTTATCAGCAAACCATTCACTCTGATGTTTTTTTCTTGTGCTTCTCTGTAAGCATCTTCCAGGGCGCTTTTGGTGATCTTGAAATTGTTTGAACTTGCACAGACAACAGGAACAAGTTGGACTCCTGTTCTCCAGGTCAAGTCTCTATCAAAACTGCAATGTAACATCAAATATTAGAGTTAGTTAAGAAGCAAGGAAAACAAAATCAAAATCTAAAGCCATCTAAGTCCCTAATCTTCTCATTTGCTATTATTCTTTATTTTCTTAAGGAGCTTATTAAAGCTCTATCCTACTATCATTCTCTTTTATTAGGTCCTCCAATACCAATGAGCCTCAGTTTCTTCAAAGCAATGTTCAATCGTTGTCTTTCCAACCTATACACTCGTCTGAAAATTTTCAACAAATGTAAGAGAAGCCGTGTTTCTGATCCTTCCTCATCATGACCCCAACAATCATTCAAAGGTAGGATGTTGGAGGACAACTAAAGTCAAGAACTAACTAGGATTTAAGGTGTGGACCATTCAAATTAGTGGTAGGCATATGACCAATATACAGTTGACTAAGACACCTTCTATTAATTACACTAAAAAAATAGATTTATTTATTACCAGTCTGATCCTAGTACCTATTATTTCCTCCTTCCCTGCCTCATATGGGCGGTTATCATATCCTTAATAAAGTAAGAGAAGGGAGATGGATAGCTCTACCAACCAGTTAAATTTTGGCTCAATATCATCTTTCTATATGTGTCCTTTCCATTGAAACACTAACCATATACTTCAAAAATTAATTAAAATCTATGGTAAAGGAAATTGATGCATTACCCTGGATAATAAGGAGTAGGAACCAAAAATGCATCCCCTGGGTTGGCCAAGCAAAAGGCAATCGTCTCCTGAGCTCCGGTTGCTCCTCCACTCATGACAATACGATCAGGATCAAATTTTACTCTATCTCCTCTCACTTTCCCCATGAATTTTGCCATAGCCTGCGCCATAAACAATATGGGATTTGTCTCCATTAATCGAATTGATCAAAGAAACAGGAACTTATTAAGGGTTTTAACTTTTAAGAGCCATACCGCTCTGAATTCTGGCAATCCATGGTAATCCTGAAAGATAGCAGTATCCTTGAAATTTAATACACCGTCTGGCGTACAAATGGAGGCTTTTGGATTTTTCATGAGCCAGTCTTGAATCAAATCAAAGCAAAGCTGCATTCACAGAAAAAAGATAAAAATTAGTTGTGCCCCTTATAAACCTTTGCTTTGAGGACCAGAAAATTCAAGTTGCCATCTTTACCTGATTTTCTGCGAGACCCATCTGTATAACTCCATCAGGTCTGTCTATGGGATGGTATGGATATTCGTCGTACGCCTTCCACCCATCAAAATAAGGAGAATTTTCCCCATGCCCATCACCAATAGCCATTTTAGACAACAACTGGTTTTGATTTCTAAGGTTTGCAGCCATATGTACTTAAAAAATTGCAACTCGGGAGGAATATACGAGAAAGTAAACAGTTAAAAGAATGTTGGAAACTTCAAAGGCAGGAATATGCAAGTGCTTGCGCTAAGGATTTTCGAAGCTAAAAAAACAATGAAACGCTCAGAGATGAGATTTCCTTCACAACTATAAGTGCTTATTTATAGTAGGGGTGCGCAACGAGTATTCAGAGGTGGGGCCTGTTAACCGGTCGGCGGTCGCCTCGTGAAATTTCTTGGAATTGGAAGTAGAAAAAGAAGGCAAATAAAATAAAAATTCCTCAAATAGTCAATACTAAGACCGATGTGGGCAACGCCGTTTCCGTATAACGTTGGGGGGGCGAAGGGCATACGTTAGTACTGCCAGAATCAATAGCATTATTATTATTAATAATTTAATACTTTATGTGGGCACAATATTTTGCCATATAACAATAACCATGCAATAGTTAAAACAATAACCATGCAATAGTTAAAACAATAACCATACAATGGTTAAGAGAGGTTTGCTCTCATCTATTGATTATTTTTAACTTATGCAATAAAGAGTACATAACTTTTTTTTAATTAAAAATATATCAAAAAATGATAATTTTATTTTTAAGTGGAGTCTATTTTCTTGTATCCTTCAAAAACATTCACAATATCACTTCTTCTCTTTTTTCTTAAGAGAAAATCAACATTCATGATATCATTGGTATTCGAGGTATAGCATGTATTTATCAATCATTCATTCATGTTATAAGTTAAGGTATTAAAATCAAAACTTATGAACGCTTTGAATGATTATATAATGAGGGTTGAAAAACCTAAAAAAAAAAAAAAGAGTTTTGCTAGCGTTTATCTTTTATATTTTATTATTTTTATAAAATAAAGATTTTAAAATTAATAAAATTTAAAATTTTCACAAAATCCTTTTTAAAAAAATAATAAAACAAAAAAAACATTCAAAACACTCATGATATAGTTAACACATGTGGTATGCCATATATTTCTTTACCATTAGCTAAACTCATGTGTGACAAGTCAAGTTATTTAAATTTAAAATTAATGACTGTTAGAAAACTGAAAAGAAGAATAATTTGAAGAAAGATTTATTGCTTTCTTGAATTAGACTGTATGTACAATGAATATGTGTTTACAAAGAGAATATTCTAAGGTATAAAGTATACAAAGAGAATATTCTAAAGTATAAAATATTTACAATAATTCTAAATATAATTATGTTCACATTCTAACATCCCCTCTCAAACTCAAGGTGGTTGTGATGAAACCAACTTGAGTTTAGAAAGAAGAGTATGAAAGTGTTCAGGAAAATGAGCCTTGGTAAAGAGATCTGCTAGTTGATCAGCGGAGCCAATGAAAACCAAATGAACAGTTCCTTGTACAACATGATGGCGAATAAAGTGACAATCAACCTCAATGTGTTTAGTGCGTTCATGAAAGACATCATTATGAGCAATCTGCATAGCACTTTGATTATCACAATATAAATCAGTAAAAGAAGGTTGAGGAATACCCATATCTTCAAGAAGCCACCACAATGAAAGAAGTTCTGATATGGTATCCCCGAGAGCTCTATACTCAGCTTCAATACTAGAGCGAGATGGAATAGCTTGTTTCTTACTCCGCCAAGAGATAAGAGAATTACCAAGGAAAAGACAATAACCAGTGGTAGATCTACGATCAGAAGGATCACTAGCCCAATCAGCATCAGAGTAAGCGCGAAGCACAGGGGAGGAGTTGGCAGAAAAATGGAGTCCATGAAATAATGTTCCTTTAACACAGTGAATAATGCGAAGTACTGTTGCATAATGAGTGGAGCGAGGAGCAGCCATAAACTGACTTACAATGTGAACTGCATATGCCATATCAGGGCGTGTCGTAGTAAGATAAACCAGACTACCAACCAATTGCCGATAGCGAGTAGGATTAGAAAGTGGAGAGTCATCCATAGGTGTAAGCTTGACATTAGGTTGTTCTATCACTTCTTTGGCAACCATAGCAGTAGTAGGATGAGTTATAAATATCAAGAAATGAATTATTAGGCGACATTGAAGAAAAATGAGTAGTAATTGAAGACATATGGTTACAACAACCAGAGTCGAAATACCAAGGTTTGGTACCAGGAGCAGTAGATAAGGCAGTAGGAGCATTGAAAAGATTTAATATCACCTGTTTTAGGGATTCAAGGTTGACATTAGGTTGTTCTATCACTTCTTTGGCAACCATAGCAGTAGCAGGATGAGTTATAATCCTTTCAAAACTCGCCAAAAAATCAGTAAATTCACAATACTGAAAAATTCTAAAAATATGAAGAAATAGATGTCAAGATCGAAATACCAAACCAACAAAATACCTCAGAAAAAGGCCTGAGAATCGAAGATAAACAATCCAATCTGTAGGAGAAGAGATCCCAATAACAAAGTTTCAGATTTGGAATGGAATTGAAAATCCAACTCCAAAAACCCAACAATGATGATAAAAGAAAAAAACAAGGAGTTTATCGCTCTGATACCATGTTAGAAAACCGAAAAGAAAAATAATTTGAAGAAAGGTTTATTACTTTCTTGAATTATATTGTATATACAATGACCTATATATAGTTGTTTACAAAGAAAATATTTTAAAGTATAAAGTATACAAAGAGAATATTTTAAAATATAAAATATTTACAATAATTTTAAATATAATTATGTTCACATTTTAACAATTACAAATTAATTCATCACATTGTGAGTATCATAAAGAAAAGGGTTTTCGTTAGCATTTCTATTATAAATTTTATTATTTTTATAAAATGCTGGGGTAGTATCGAGGGAATTTTTAATATTTCCTAAACCTTTATCATTACATAATAAAATGCGAAAAAGATATTCTTTTAAGTTTTTAATAATTAATATTTAATATTTAATTAATAATTATTATTATTTATAACTATAAATACATAATCCATTAAATTAAATCAACAAATGATAACGATTTATAAAATTTTAAAACAAACACGATCTTTTATCTCAATCAACACACGGCATCATCGGTCATCCTTTCCCAAAATTAGAAATGAAAGAAGATGATTGATTTTCTGACACACGGCAACGCGTGTGGGCGTGGGTGTGGGTCTGGGCATCACCGTCCCATATGCCCCATGTGTGGTTCTCACTCTCTCGTGGCACAACAGCAGTACTGTTTTTTTGTTCAAAGTTTTCATCTACAACCCAAAATGAGAAAATGCCACTATAAATTACCATGTGATATGCATGGTACAAGTTCATGTGCCCTTTCCATGTGTTCGGCCTGCACCGGCTAAAAAAAACCTTTAGTTATGTGTTAACATAGATTTGGTAAGGCCTTCTCCTTAACCTTGAAGATCGAACTAAGGGTTTTACAGTGAGTTGGGGTTAAGTCCAAAATGCCAATTAAATCAGTTTTATGCTCTTTTCTCAAAATAATAGTGTATTCCAATTCAGTAATGCCGACGGATGCCTACGGATGCCTTGGTTTATGTGTTCAACAAATTGCTCGGAAACTTAATTAGTTCTGAATCCGCAGCATGCAACCCCATACGATGGGCCGAATTATTCCAAGGCTACAGAAAGCAATAGATTCCATTGTACGCTTCAACCACCGACAAATTATGGGGAAGACTTGGAAGTCGCTGTTTGCTAAAGTTCGTGATTTGGATAAATTGTATTGCATCACGGAATACGTACTGCAGATCAATTAAAAATTGACAACTCAGCATCGGATTTTTCATAGGGTTTTTTTTCTTTTTTTTT